CGACTCTCCCTAAGAATGACCATTAAGTTGTATTCATTTGTTGAGAAACTTTCCGATCGTTTCATCGGTTTCTATTGTTTTAACCTCTTTTCATACACTAAACGATCGTTTTATGAATACGTTTTCTTTGTTATATATAATTATATTCTCATTCATAAGATTTTAACCAAATATATGTAATATAATTTACTTTTAGTTAAAATTTATTTATATAATTTAATAATAATAAATATAACAAAAAGCGATCGATAAAACATGTGATACCGGACGACAACAGATGTACGTTTTGCGAGTAGACAATTAGTTTTAAATGTATAGAAATATAACTTTGAACTTTATATTTATAATTATGATCGACAATCACTGATTATTTTGGATATATAATCAATATTTAAATTGTAAAAAGTATGAAAGACTCTATTTATAATAATAAAATATCCTGTATATGATATATCAGTGATGATAAACTAGAATATTTAGTCTATAAAATTAGTCAAGTGTATTTAAGTTTTGATCATTATATTTCAGTTTCTTAATGCATTGGTCATCTAATCAGTACACAATTCATTTCAATCATTATAAATTAAGCATTCATTTCACTTAAAATCAAACGACAATTGTTTGTTATATTTTGTGCGTGAGATCATTAAAAATAATTGTTTTATTTTTAAAAAGTATTATTACCGAGGTTATTTCTAAGCCCAACTGATATTAATATCAGTACTTATAAAAATGTTAACAATAAAATCCCTGACCAGTCGTCTAAACCAATTGCTCTGTAGATTTTAATTATTGTTTAGTTATAACGATTTGAATATCCGTTTGAATTTATAAATACATTAAAATAGAGATAATTTTATGAATTAAAATGAATGTAAATCTCATAACTTTGACATTAATTTGTATAACTATTATCACACAAACCAATGGCTCAATACTTGACTCTCTGAAGGGGTTATTTGGACACAACAATGACAGCCAAGCCGTGAATAACATGACAATAACGAGACCACACGGTATTATCACCACAAGAACTAAACGTGGTATTATTACTACCACTTTGGCACCCATTACGAGCACCGGTAGTGGTCGGCCCACCACATCATCCAAGGGCTCATTTCTCGCCGATCTTATCGCTAATTTTCTTAAGACAACGACCACTACTACTCGTCCCATACCGGCCGTCACCGACGACACCCTAACCCCAACCAATACGACACCTGCCCTACAGATTCACGAAACGGAGACGACTGCCGAAGCGGACACTGACGAGGAATTGCAACCATTTATACCAATCTATTTACATATTTTCTATTTGTCTATCATTTACATCGTGTGTTCAATCGTCACTTATTTGGCTCATATCGTCATAGACTGGAGTGAGTGTTAAATGTAAGTTTTTTTTCAAATTAATTACAATTTTTGTGTTTTGATTTCCCAGAAGTAGATGACATGCGAGACATCATTGCACTGTATAAGCAATTTTACAAAAACGAGTTAACCGTCAAACCAGTCAAACAAAAATAGATGACAATTAAATCTTTTTAAAAACTAATTTTCTCATTATATTGAATACACTGTTCTCTTACTGGCAATAAAATAAACTATACTTTGAAACCATTGAACGACATCTAAATTGAATCCTCAAAAGGGGTTTACATGCGATAAACCAATGCTATTAAGAATGAGTTTATTTAACTGAAATCATAGACTTATTTCAGTGACAATTTGGGTGTAAATATGACTTTACTATACAGTGCTCTGCAATTATGTGTTCACTCGAAACACCATATTATGGACACATTTAGGACGTGTCGTGAAATTACATGTTTGTCGCCAATCATGTAATACTAGACTCGTGTTGCCATCAAATGCTAACAGAAATCTTATATCTAATAAATACTTCCCATTATTTGAATAAAAGCGTCGGTAAGTCATGATTAGTTCCCATAAGATTAACATGTATTTGGATTTTAATTTGCCGACAAATAGCACTTTCAGTATTGATGAGACATATTCTGGGAAAAGAAAGTTATTTCTGGACATAAAATGTCTACAAATGAGTTATTCTGTGGGAAAATAATGGCAAAGAAAATATCAGATTTCACATCATATACGAGACAAATGAATGGTAAAAGCGGTTAGTAATGAGAGATGTTGTCTTATGTTTGCGATTCAATTGAGAAAATATTTTATACTGTATTAAAATCCTATGTTTTTCATCACAAATCGATAAAAGTTTTAAATATCACAAAACTAACGAAAGACATTATTTTTAAAGTAATAATTATAATGAAAAACCTATTATAATATATCACTTTGTGAGGAATCGGAGCTTATTTTGTTTGATTCATTCAAATAAATCTCGTTTTCTAGAAGACAGTAACGATTTTATTACCCAAAGAATTCTGTAATTATTCTTTCATTAAATGTTGATTTCATAACAGAATTGCATTTCCAGTGAATTGTATTTGAAATTCAATTATGAATTACAATGAAATATGACTTCTTATATAACAGTCTTTAAGTATTCAAATGGCAAATAATTTGAGTGAATAAATGGCACTCTTATTAAATGCCGAAACACATCAATGAATACATTATAAGTGATATTTAAAAAGTGTTTTCAATTAGTTTCGCTTCAATTGAATTGAAATATATGTACAAAAATAAGTGATTATTCTGACGCCTCTTCTCAAATATTTTTAGCATTTATATAACAATATTGTATTATTCACTCCTCGAGTAGTCTCTCTCTCTCTCTCTCTCTCTCTCTCTCTCTCTCTCTCAGTCAGCGAATGAAGAGATGTTTTAAAATGTGTTTTTTAAAAGCCGAAAGTCATCCGTGAAGTGAAGTTTTCTGTTATCTAAAACTGAAAATCAAATTAAAAACAAATTCTTTGTGCCATTCATTAACTAATGACAAAATAACGATTCAAATAGTGATACATGTAATGTAATTATCGTTATATTATTTAATTACATTAATAATATCATTAAATAATTTAATTAAAATTAGCTCAAAATATAGTAAAATTAAAATTAAGTTTCTTATATTAATTGTGTATTTATGTCACAATATTGTGCTCTTAATTATAAACGTA